GTGTATTTAATTTGTTTTCTCAAACTTGGCATTTCTAAAAGTATCATCAGATAAATATTTTAAAAGAATATCTTTGTTGGTAGATTGACCGTGCTAACCAGGGGCGCTATTCTGTACAATCGTCGGTATCGGCAAGTTACCGACAGCTATCGGTACGTACGGCCAATTAGCGTCGTGTTGATTGTTGTTGTCATTGTTACCGATCGGCCCTATGACAGATATCGCAAATTTGTACCGACGACTCTCGGTATCTCTACCGTGAGGTTGACAAGGGCACGGTAGAGATACCGATTTTCGTCGGTACAAATTTGCGATATCTGCCATAGGACCGATCGGTAACTATGGCAACAACAATTAACACATTTTTACTATATACAAATACGTATCGAGAGCTGTCGTAACTTACCGATACCGACGATTGTACAGAATAGCGCCTCAGGCTTCAGGAAATTTTCAGAACTTCATCTGGCACCACTGACAGTATCAAGTCGTAGAACGGTAGACATACTTTGACACATTTATCAAATCAGTCGGATTTTGAAAGGGGTTAGGTGTACATCATTCTACAATATATTTACGATTTTGAAGGTTATCCATACATCTCGAGACGTTTAATCTTTTAATAATAAAAATAATTAAACGTCCGGTTGTATCTACACTGCTCATGTTTTTGTTGCTGTTTCAGCATAAGTTAAAACAAGCATTAAAAAAATGACTAAAAATCAACTTTAAAAAAGGACAATTAGCAAAATAATTATAAAGAAATTAAATCAAAGGTTCAAAAATACCTCCCTGTTGTGCTTCGCAATAGCCAAGACGGTTATAAAACTCTGGCCTAACTTTAGCTAACATAACAGCGGGGATATTTTCTAACGACTGAATGATTTTTAATCGCAGCTCGTCAATATTCATGGGTAGTTCATGGTTATGGCCATAAATGGAATTTTTTTTTACATATCCCCACAGAACTAAGTCATTGAGTGACAAATCAGGAGAACGTGGTGGCCAATTAATTGTGCCTTGTGTGGAAATTAGCCGATTGGGAAATGTGGTTTGAAGGAACAGATTTACGTTACGCGCGTTATGCGCAGGACAACCATCCTGCTGAATCCACACTTCCTCAAAATTGATTGGCAAATTTCGAACTGCTGGTACAATTTGGTCTTGTAGCATATCCAAATATTTGGCAGCCGTTAACATACCATCAATAAAAAAAGGCCCAGTGATATGATTTTGCAGCATGCCAGCCCAGACATTTAGTTTTTGTGGATATTGTGTCCGCAGTGCCATACTAAGGTGCTTATTTTCTCGAGACCAATAATATACTATCGAAGGATTGTGGTAGCCATGTAAGGGAAACGCGATTTCATCTGAGAATAATATATTTTCCAAAAAAAAAAAATTCCGATCGGCTCTTTCTCTCACAGCCTCGCAAAACTCCAGACGTCTGTTACAATCTGCGGGAAAATTTTCTTGCGTGGTACTAAGCGTACGATTTTGTAGGACTTATATCCATGCTTTTTTAAAACCCTGCGCACCGTTCGAGCATTGCAACCAACTTGCTCGGCTATATGTCGGCTTGAACAAGCTTGTTTCGACCGCGGCACAAATATTAATTTTCTTGTCGGGAATCACCTTCTATGCGCCGCACAGTGTGGCTTTTTAATAATCTAGCAAATAAAAAACTAAAATAATTTATGTCTGATAATGCAAATATTTCTATGTATATCGGTAGTTATCATATCAATCAGGCGATAACAAAATGCCAAGAAATTCTTTCATAACATATTGGAAGCACAGTTGACATTTTAATTGGTTGTATTATTAGTACAGATTGAAAATATTTTCTGTTCGTGGCGTTTGCAGTGTTTGCAGTGTTTTTTTTGCAAGCATATAGGTAGGTGCTTTATAAAATAATTTAATGATTTGCAAACAGCATATCTAATAAATAATTTTTAAAAACCACAGTAAAAAAAAGAAATCCTCACAAAATGCTTTATTTGTTAAACCCGCAATCTCGAGATTCTATCAGATTCGGCTGAATTTCGCTACTATTCTTTAGTTTGCTTCATTTATTTTCGTTTTAGTCTATATTTTTGTGCGGCAAAGTGCGGGACATCTATTTTTTTAATTTTATTTCAGGCATCATGTCCTTATCGAAAAGACAACTTTATGAAGTTGTGCAACTTTATCCGTGGTATTATATACCTTCCAGCATACACAGAATTCTGATACATGTGGGAGACATAATAAAAGCTGCTGTTCTTCCAATTGGAATGTTGTCGGAAGAGGCATTAGAATCCAGAAATAAAGATTTTAAAAATTACCGACAATTCAACACCAGAAACATATCTAGAACTAAAACGATGCAAGATTTGTTCAATTACTTATTTATTTCTTCAGACCCCATAATTTCCACTCTATCTCAAAATGTCAACAATTTTCGAAAAAATATCACACTGGACAAAGAAGTTATAAAATTACTAGCTGATCCAATACTGCTTAACAGCGACAATCACGATTCGTCATTCGAAGATTCATCTGAGGACAGAAATTCTAGTTCATCTGAAAGTGAATAATATTACCTAAGAATCAATAACTATACCTTATTAAATTTTAAAATTAAGAATTTTTTTGTTTTGTTAGTACTAATTGGGTTTTGTACTTATTTTACCAAATATTTATACAATTTATTGGGCAATCTTTAAGAATTAAGAATTTTCATTGAGGGTTATTAAAAAATTACATTTTTCATTTTCATATTTTTTTCATTTAAATGGACCTTAAAAATGTGTGTTTTTGTTTAAATTTATTCGTTTATGTTTTAATTACCAAAATAGAACACAAAAAAATGTAATATATTTGTTAACAAAAAAAAAATAATTTTTAATTGCTAGATTATTAAAAAGCCACACTGTGCGCCGTCCTGATTGTCACAATTTCTGCACGCTGCAATGCAGCCTGTTTGCTCAAATTTATGGACAATGTTGCGTACAGTTGTGGCACAAAGCACAGGGCGATCTTGAAAGGTGAACACAAAACGCCCAATAACCTCTTCCACACTTGAGAAAATGTAAAACCATTTAACGATATGCACCTTCTCTTCGGTCGTATAAATAGCTATTTTTGAAACACTTAACATACACACCGAAACAGCTAGGCGAAAAGAATGATGCAAAAATAGTTTGGATCTCTTGTGTACTATTTCCTTTCCCCACCCTTTCATCTACATAAAGGTGCGTATTCACTATCCGAACGAACGAATGCTACTATCCAACGAGCAAACGTCCAGTCTTGTTCGCGCGGTTCTATAATACTCATTCGTTTGCGAACGTCTCTGATATACCGACTGGAAACGGATGATGGAGCGAACCGAATGGCTAACGGCAGCATGCATTCGGTTTGCTGTCCAAATATACCGAATTTCATTCCTCTCTTCTTTCGGATAGTGAATACGAACCTTAAGATAAAGCACCGCCCCTCTCAATGCGTACTCCCACCATGCTTATGCTTTACCTTGGCCACACCCGTAAATACCGGCAACAGTGTATGGGTCGCACCGGCCCATCACCGGCCCCTTTTGATGCTGTCTCTCTGTCTGTCAACCGGTCATTTATATTATTCTCTGGCTTACACGTTAAAATCCAGACCACACTTCTGAAGTGTCCCGATGTGTATAAATTGTTCCTAAAAGTAGTATTTCAAATTAGCTTTCTGTCTTCTATTTCCAATTACTGCATAATAGATATCCGGCATAAACACTAATTATTTTTTCTTTTTTTTTCAGATATTAAAAGCAACATATTCTTATATTATGATCTTTATTAATACAAATTCATAAATTTCAAGATAGAATGTTATTTATGAACAAAAAGTAACTACAAAATAACACATACACAACTAAAACACCATGATACTATATTAAACATTTTTGTCGCAGGTTTATTTTAAATGTTTCCTAGAATTTTAGATATTTGTTTAGATTTTCGATTCACTTGCAATAATGTTATTACTTAATATTGTGCTAAAAAATAAACGCCTAACTCCAAAGCATTCAAGTATGTTTTATAAGCACACAACAAAAAATGTTTCCCTAAGTACTATTTCATGCTCTCTTCCATGCTAAAGCTTCATTTAGAACCACGCAATTAGTGGAATAAATTAGTGGTTTCAATTACACTTTATACTTTTTAGCTTACGATCATTCACAATGTCTAAAAAACATAATTAAAATTAATAAAATATCCTAGCAACAGCTTGTATCCATAGAGAAAGCCAAATATCTAGCTTATAAAACAATAAACTCTTGATTTCAAACCATATTTTGTATTGACGGATGATAATCAAAGGCCAAAATTACATTCCTCGCAAATTTTGAAGTATAATTATAGGAAAAGTTAAAAGTTTGGTAACTTTTTCCACTACTTAAAAATTCCTTCCACTAATTCTGACGTTGTGAATGCTTACATTCAAATTAGAGGAACAAACTTCTACGCTAATTGAAAGCAGTAATTTATTCCACTAATTGTGAGGTTCTGAATGAAGCTTAATGGTTCTTAATTAATTTTATATGCCATTTACAAATTTAAAATTGCTCAGTTTACTAACAAGTAATAACAACATAATATGTAGGCAATGAACAAGCAGTACCCTACTAAATATGGAATATAATTAATTAACATTAGTAAGAAGAAGATGGGTAAGATTAACAAGTACCATAAATTATATACAAACAACATATACACTTAAAACGATAGGCTTAAAATTGGTATTTATATATAATGTCGGGTCCAGACCAAGCAAACAAAACAACGACAAGACAGAAACATTCATGTTTTACGACAAAATTGCGACAAATCCAATACATTTCTGCGACATTTTTGTCTCATTTTTGTTTTGTTTCAAAATTCGGAGACTTCATTGTCCCGTCTCGAGTCGGTAAAGATCAAAGTGTCTATGTTTTGTTTGTATATTTTACAAGTTATCGGCGCAGTGTGGATGGCGTGTGCTGCCAACAGTAGAAGACCAGTAAAATCACACATGGTTAATAAAACTCATTCGCAACAACTAAACTTTGGTCTTTGTTGTACAATTTGTATCAAGTTTATCTTGTCAGAATTTCCCATTTTTTGTCGCAAGTTTGTCTTGTTTTTGTCTCAAAATCGTTTTTACTTTTTGTCGCCTTGGTCTGGACCCGGCGTAACATCTAACTTCTAAGAAGATACCTTTTTTTTTAAAAAATCCGTATATAATTTTGAATTTGCGCCACACGACGCGACGGTGCGCACTAAATCAGTAATTATTTAACTGTGTATTTATTTAAAAAAAGTAATGCCTATATATAATCCGACTTAATAAATATATACATAAGAGATACATTATATGAAATGATATTTATATTCTTGTATAACAATATGATATGCATTAAATAAATAAATTAAAATGATCTTAAGTTTGTTTTATTTAAAACTTTAAAATGAGTTAAAAATGGGCTTTATTAATGGCTTTTATTTAACTAAGATGGTAAAATTAATGATAAATCCTTTTCTTGCTTTTTAATTTTTTCTTTGCAGCTGCTACTGTAGTGGTTGGAAATGCTTCATCATATGCCGCTATTATATCACTAACACTAGATGGTCTGTCTGTAGGAGATTTTTGTGTTTTGGTATTTGGCTGTTTAGAGTTCTGGTGATCAGTTTCTTGATGCCTCTGATCTTCTTCGTTTTGCAGTAACTGGCCAGACGCTATGCCCCGCCTAGTAAAATATTTAACCATATCATCGTAATTAACATCTTGATAACGTTGAATAGGTGGTTCAGTTTCGGTAAAATATGCATTTTGTGCTGGAGTTGGTAAATAGTAATATCCTTGAGACTGCTCTTCGTCCTGTGGTGTCTTATCGCTTTCTTGATTAATGCCATAAGGATAATATGGCTTTTCGGATTCTTGGACTTCTACTTTTGCTATGTTATCTGGCACTTGAATTTTTATTGTTTTTACCTGTTTTTCTGGTACTTGTTGCTGTTGAGCTGATCTTACTTCACCTATAATTAATAATTAATTATTTGTTGTAATATAACGAGAATTATAAAATGGTTATATCGACCTCTTACTAGGATTAAGTGGTGTAAAAATGAAACATTTTTCAAAACTTTTATTTTTCTCTTAGTTACAACCATTTAAATACAAAAATATTTCTTCTAAAAAAGGTATTTGGTAGTAACGAAACCAAAAACGTAAAAATATACCAAAAGTTCCCCTAAAATGGTCAGTATGCAGAATAGTGTCTCATATTATATTCAACACATAAAAATTATAAAAATGGGACATGCTGAGCTAAATAGAAAGCAGCCAAAAAACTCACACTTAAAGACCCAGCTATCTAGAAATCCTGGGAAATCTGCCCCTCGGCTTTTTTGACTCGCACTCAGGGAATCGATTTGGTGTCGAATCAAAATAATTCACCTAGATTTTTAGCTCTTTAAATAAAACGGTTTTCGAGATTTTAACAAAAAACAGTCTTTTCAGTTTTATTTTTAATTTTTATAGTAAAATTCAAAATTAATTAATGATGACTTTTTTTCTAATTCTTAGAAGTCTAAGACGAAAAAATAATGTGATCATGATTTTTAAACGAAAAGCCGATTTGTAGCAAAGAAAAGAAAATTTAAATCTTCATTTTTTAACTTTTGTTAAATATGTCACTCACTAAAAATTGTCAGAAATTGTCTTTTATATTTCTTTACACTCAGGAATTTTTTAGAATTTTTTGAAGTGGTGAAACAATATGAAAAAAAAAATTAAAAACTCATTTTTTTCTAAAGTCTTCTGTTTTACCTAACTTATATTTTTGTTTAGTTTAAAAAGTGCGTAGAAAATATTTTTTCATTAAAAATACATCCTTGCCAGAAATAAACATTAAGATTATTATTAAAAAATGAGTCCGAGAAGATTTTAGAAAAAAAAGATTTTAGAAAAACAATGAGTTTTTAATTTTTTTCATATTGTTCCAACACTTCAAAAAATTCTAAAAAATTCCTGAGTGTAAATGAGTATAAAAAATACATTTTCTGACAATTTTTAGTGAGTGACATATTTCACAAAGGTTAAAAAATGAAGATTTTAATTTTCCTACCTCCGCTAAAAATCGGCTTTTCGTTTAAGAATCAGATCATATTATTTTTTCATGTCTAAGAATTAGAAAAAAAATCATCATTAATTAATTTTGAATTTTACTATAAAAATAAAAATTAAATTAAAAAAAACAGTTTTTTGAAAATCTCGAAAACTGTTTTAGTTAAAGAGCTAAAAATTTAGGTAAATTATTTTGATTCGACACCTAATCGATCACCTGAGTGCGAGTCTAAAAGCGCGGGGGCAGATTTCCCAACTAATCCGGCTATACCCTTTATCTTTTTTAGTAGCACAAAAATAAAAAAAAATCTATACTAATGAGAAACACCAGCATATAATTCAAATCAAAATACAGTTAAATTAGATCGTCGCAAAAAAAACGAAAACAATATATTAGAGTCTAAAACAATTATATTAAATTAAAAATGAGGAAAAATATGTTCTTAATAAGTGACATTAAAAAATTAAAAATATCAATTAACGAAGTAAATATTTCTCAAAATCTATTAAAAGAGCAAACATCTTCGAAGTCTTAGAACTCCGGCCGCTTTGCAAATATGATGGTGGTAATTTTAACGTAATATCTTTCTTTAAAACATTAGTTATCTCAGTAACTACGGTTTTGAATTATCAATATGATAAGCTTTGTCTGCATCTCCACTGCAGACTAACTTTGCAATCTTTTAAAGATATTTTTCTGTATACATGTTTTTCTGTATCATGCTATTAGGTTTGTTTCATATTTACCCCTGCATTTGTCTCACTAGTACCACCGCGTGTGACTGAAATTTCCGGTCTAAAAAAATAGCTTGTCATACCAAAAAGGTTTAATTTAAACTGCCATGCTTTTTTAAACTATGTACCCTAACCAATCTACGCCAGCAACGACAGGGTCGATCGCTTACCGACAAAAGTTTGGTAGTCAGTTTCAAAAACCACAAAACGATTCATCACACAAACATTACACAAATTATGGGGAAGATCCCCTAACAATTATTGTTAAATGATCCTAGCAAGAAAGCTTACTAAGTATAAGTTTTCAGTAGTTTTATTTCAATTCTCATTTTTTGTGTGGCGTGTCTCATTTTTACACCACTTTATTTTTATTTCTTAGTTCAAAAATGTCGACATTTCTTAAACTAAATATCCTTAACCAACATCGTTTTCCCTTCCCCAACATCGTTATACACAAAATAATTATAATAACATACTAGAAAAAGGACACAACGTTAAATACCTTAGACTATTGACCATTTTTTGTAAAATCAAATTATCTCGATAAACGGTCATAGATTAAAGTTATCCACATATTTTTTGTCATATTGTATTTTCAGCCAACCAAGGATTGATGTAGCGATTTTTTTTAAACATTAATGAAAACCAATGCCGAATTTATTGCACCACAAACTCAAGGGTGAGTGATAATTTTTGAAGTGAAACACAACAACAAACAAAGAACAACAATCACGACACACGAGATGTAAACTTGTAAGGACAGCCTACGGCTTAGAAAAAAATCGTCCGATTTAAATCAAATTTATTTATGTCGATAGATTGGATCAAGGCCAACTTGACTGTGGACGACACGTCTCTCTGTAACAGTTTATTTTGACGTAATAAACGTCAAAAATATCAACTTTAATATCAATTAAAGTTTGATATGGAAGAAACGGCATCGACGTTTCGAACCGATCGATGCCGCTAAATGGACGAAATCATCAGGATTTTTCTTAATTATGGGTCGATTGAAAAAAAAAAACTCGGCACGTGGATAGAGGTACCGGAACGGAGTCCTCAGACGGACAGACCTAACCTAACCTAACCTTCCTTCGATTCTAATAGAAATTTTGTGAAAGTGAATCAAATTATTTATTATTACAGATTTCAAAAATTTGTCATATTATTGCATTCGCAAATTTTCAGCCAGACCGACGTTCCCTCACTTGGTATTTGCCAGATTGTTATTTCCATTAATAAAATGATTCCTTTTAACAACTGCCAAATATTTATGACCGGAAAAATAGGTGGATCAATAATATATAGATATATAGATAATTATTTAGTGAACCCATCCTAAAAAGTTTAGGCTAACTCATAAATTGTCATATATAATTTCACCATCCGAACAAATTATTATATTATTCAACCACTGGGAACTAGTCTCCTGGACTATACTCATAAACGAGAAACCCTATAAAACACACAAAAATGCGATACCCTGTACAGTAAACTTATGAAATTATTAAAAAATTTTATATTTAACTCAATACTAAATTTATGACCATAATTACTAGAGATTAACAAAACTGCGATTGCGATATTTAAATCGCAGCGACCGTAACCTGCGACTGCGATTTTAATATTTACCAAACCCAATTATTCAATTTTTTTTTCTAAATATTCAAATGAGCTACCCTCGTTTCATTTGAAAAAATTGAGGTATTATTAAAAAAACGATTTGGGCATTTTTAACTGACCAGGACAAACGCGAAAAACAATAGACGATCGAATCTATTTTTCCAAGGCATGTGTTAAAAATCAGTGTTTTTAACACAGAAACATGTTAGTGTAGGCCAATCAAATTAATATATTTTGAGGAATAAATTTCCAGCAAGCTGGAAATCATTTTAATACCTTTATTCGGTCCTAAATGCGTGTAATCTAACTTTCCACCATCCCAGGATAAGAGGTGAGCTTAGTTTTTAATAGGCAAAAAACCGTCAAATTTTTGCACATTTTTGAGTTTTTTGCTTGTAGCTGGAAGTCGGTGCGTCGGTCGGAAAATGTCATTCCATTCAATAATATAGAGGACTAAATTCTGCGTAGAATAACATATAAAACATCAAATTTGGTTCAGTGGTATAGCCGAAATCCAATGTTAAAAACGAAGAAAATTTCGTCTAAGAGAATACCCTGTTCCTATATGCTATCAGCGGATGCGATACAACCTCTGCATGCTATCGCCAAGGGAAGTTAGGGTTGCATGAAGATGCAGATCCTGAGGTTCTCATTTCAGCAGGTCAACTGTTCTTGGCTGCTCTCTATTCACCTAAGGCAGATGTGACCTCCTTGGACCAAATCCGCTACGAGATATTTTCAAAATCCCATCAAAGCCAACTTTTGAACTGGCCTCTCTACCTCCAACAAATGCAGCCGCCGCTCAACATATTCTGCCAGTGTACCTTCAAATCCAGGACTGGTGTCATAAACCAAAGGATCCTCTGAACTGGGATTGGAGAAGGACGGACTGGGAACTGGGATTGGAGCCTTCTCCCCATCACAAACGCCAAAGATCCAGCTCCAGCTTAAATTCTCAATACTGTGTCATGCAAATGTTCAAAGGAGTGTACAGGGAAGTTCAACAATATGCCTCAACTGCAACGGTCAGTCATGCTCGAATTCAGCGCCCTTCGAGGATGAGAATGAGACCTACATTCATTGCCGTAGAAGCAGAAATAGGTGAGGATGGTCCCTTTGAAGATGATTCCGATGAAGAGGACCTCGATATGCAACCGTGCCTTCCAAGCTTTTCAGATGAAGGGCCATCGACATCTAAGAAAATGCGAACATGAATGCCGCCACATTTTGTGCTGCATGTCTATTGATTTTTATACCATAATTACATTTATTCAATAAACTTTAAGTGTTTTCGTTATTTTATTGCACCTACACTATTAAGAACTATGATTAATTTACTTACTTAATTAATATTAATAATACTTATTAAAGATTTAATGGAAATACAGAACTCTGATAAATAATGATTTTTATATCTACTACTTGAATCTCTACTCAGGTTGTGCATATTAGTTTAACATTGCAAAGCAATATGAAGTGCTGTTTTGGTACAAAATTTTGATATTTCTTTACCTGACATAACTTCAAATGACTGAAAACGTCGAAAAAAAAACGATTTTGAATTGATGCCAAATTTCGAATTATAAGTGACTAAATTTAAAAACTATGGTATCTATGTAACGTGAAATTTTATTCTCAACAACTTGTTTCATGGTTTTTTTCAATAGGAGTATCTGTTTTAAAGATATGTGGTCTTAGATAGCCGCAAAATGTAAGTTTGCTCCGACATACGAAATTTTCTTTGTTTTTAACATTGGATTTCGGCTATACCACTAAACCAAATTTGATGTTTTATATGTCAGTCGACGCAGAGTTTAGTCCTCTGTATTATTGAATGGAATGACATTCTGCGGCCGACGCACCGTTTTCCAGCTACAAGCAAAAAACTAAAAAAGGTGCAAAAATTTGGCGTTTTTTGACTACCAAATGTTAAGATCGCCACCTGGGATGGTGCAAACTCAGATTACACGCATTTAGGACCTAATAGAAGTATTAAAACGATTTCCAGCTTGCTGGAAATTAATTCCGCAAAACTGCATTTTTCAATTTAATTTTATTGGCCTAGTGTTTTTAACACATAAAGTAAAAAAAATCGAGGGTGCCAGTTAAAAATCAAAAGTCATTTCCGGTGAAAGAGGAAGTGGCCAAAAACAATTGAATACGTCAATCAATCCTAATTTATGTCATATAGTAACATACCAAATCTCGTTTTTTCATCAGAAAAAATAAAAAAGGTGTAGGGGTGAACCACTCTTGAGAAACACCCGGTATATTATTGATCGTGGCCCTAGAAAATAATACCTTCTCTATAAATAAATAATCTCAGAGAGAAAATTCAATCGTAGTTTACTAAATAATGTTTGAATAGACCACAAAATTACAATCGCAACAATATCGCAAATCGCAACTCCTAAAAATTCATACCCGCAGATAGAAATCACGGTCCCAGTTTACAAAATCATAATCGCAGCAAAATCACAAATCGCAGCTATAGTGATACGAGTTGCCTAAATTGAAGTTCGCAAATAGAAGAAATCGCAATTGCAGTTTCCTATGAGAGCTAATCGTAGGTTGCAATTGCGCTTTTCAAATCGCTGCGAGATTGAATCACAGTTGGCGATTTTTTGCTCATCTCTAATAATTACCTATATGATAATAAAGTACCTGAGTCTGTTTTGAACACTACATTAGTGTGTTGACTGCTTGGATAGTTTTCATGAGTTAAAAGCTGGTGACTGTTCAGTTGCTGCTCACTGTCATCTTGATAGTATCCCTGCTGATACTCATTATTATAGTTAATTGGCTTACTAGATAAGTATTGCTGCAATTGTGAAATCGATTGCGACTGAGCAGATGGTTGCTGATTATATTCATTTTGATAATTTGCACTATAATATTGATTGCTAGGATAATCATTTGGTACAGGTTGGGCAACTTGATGAGATTGGTAGTAATATTGTTGTTGCTTGGGTTGTGTCCTGTAACCATGGGTTGGATTATTTCTGTTGTAAAAATTATAATTAGTTCATTCACTAGTATCAGACAATAAAGCACATAATTACCTTAACCTACTAGCACTTTGTGCTACTTCAGGATGGGGATTATAAATTGGTGTATAACTTGGCTGTTGATGGTATTGATAATTTTGATTTTGAACTGCATGATCACTGTTTTGATAATTTTGTGCATTTGAATAAACGTTTTCTCGATTGTAGTAATTGTTTATTGGTCTTGCAGAATTTACTGGGACACTGGGTGCTCTATAGCTTTGTTTCGTATTATATCTGTTTGGTGAATTGTGGCTCGATGAATATTGGCTTAGAATTTCAGGTTCTTTCAAAGCTTTTATGTAATGGGTTAGAAGAGACTGGATATTTATAGAATTAATAGTTTTAGCAAATGGATGACTATCGGGTAAATTAGCTTGTAGTGTAGAATCTTTTAATTGGTCTGGATATATCCTTAAGACAATTACTGGAATAGGTTCTTGACTTTGTTGTAAATATGATGGCTGTGGTGCATTTGAACTTAATTCACTTATTTGGCCTTTCCCGCTAACTGTCGAATACAAAGTCGTACCAGGTTGCAGAGCTTGATTCACCTTCTCATAGTGAGTTATTGTTGGTAATGTGTATTGTACTGACTTCTGTATACTTATTGGAGTATTTATAATAGCACTCGAAGACGGCCCTTTTGCAATACCCTTATAAGGGGGAATGTCATGCTGAGAATATTTGTAAACCTCGTAGCGAGGTTTTGATGAACCTAAACTATCTAAAAATAATAGTAAAAAATTACCAATTCTAAATGAATATTACCTATTTTCTTTTACTTACTGTATCCATAACCCAGAGCATCTTCAATTGTACGTTTTAAATTTTTTGATGTAGAATTTTCAGCTGGATCTACAATTTGTATAGCAATAATGGCAGGTTGAGAAGTTGTTTGTTCTTGACTAGATTCTGTTGTAGTCTTTATAGATTTCTTTTTTGATTTGGATAGGATACCATTTGGCAAACCTGTTAAAGTGATAAACTGAAATGGAAAAAAGTTTCATAAAAAAACTGTATTTCAAGTAATAAATATTGCAGTGTTGGCTACGCCACAAAAAATATGATGTATGTGAGTTAAAGTGTAGAAAGATGAAGTGAGATTTCACGGATTTATTCTGTTATCCTTGGTGTTTAGAAAAATACCAGGTGGCTCAACTCTAACTTTTTAGTTTTATTAGATGGACAAACGAGATTTGGTATGTTAGTAGATGACATAAATTTGGATTGATTGCCGTATTCAATTATTTTTGGCCACTTCCTGTTTCACCGGAAATGAATACAATTATTTTTTATTTTTATTGGATAGAAAATGACACTCTGCATAGAATGATATATCATTCTATGCAGAGTTGCTATATACTATGGTAACTTTTGACATTTTCAATTCCAAACCAAACCAAACATATTTTAAAAAACACTAATTTTTAAACTAGGATCCTTAAAAAAGTAATCTTAATTGTCTAATGTCTTTCGTGTCTTATTCTGACCGGTTAAAAGGTACCCAAATCGTATTTTTTATTAAATCTCATATTTTTTCAAATAGCTCATTACCATATTTGAAAAAGGCATTTTTTACGAGTAATTTGGTACCCTATACTTGTCAGCTCAATTGTCATTATAAACCGCATGTTACAATTTCAAATAACCCATATGCGAAAATGTCATAAGATGACATATGATATGTCATTCTAATCAGAGTATAATTTTCTATCGAATAAAGTAAAAAAATACCGACGGTGTCGTTTAAAATTCAAAAAGTTGTAGTCATTTCCAGTGAAAGAGGAAGTGGCCAAAAATAATTGAATACTGCAATGAATCATAATTTATGTCATATATTAACATACCAAATCCCGTTTTTTTATTTAATAAAAATAAAGAAGTTATAGGATTAAGCCACTTTTGAGAAATTCCCGGTATTTTCCTAAACGCCAAGTCTCATTTCAGCTTTCTACACGTTAACTCACATTATACACCATATTTTTTCTGGCGTGGCCAACATTGCAATATTTATAATGCTATATCTCAATTTTTTGAAGGCAACATCATCAAATCAATCCTGACTTATGTCATATACTAACGTACCAAATGTCGTTTTTTTGCTCAAAAAAAATAAAGAAGTTATAGGGGTGAGTCACTTTCCAGAAACACCCAGTGTAGGTAAGTATAAATAAGGTTAAATTCACCTGGGGTTTTTACCACTTTTTAGATATTCTGTTTTTAATCAAAGTTTTAGTGAATAAGAAATATCATACCAACACCGCATATTCCTTTAAAAATATTTTTAGGATATGCAACTTTTTAAACCATGCAACATTTATATTATCTGGCGACTGTTGACCGCGAAGTTCTCGAACAGACCTTATCAAAACCGATCTGCGACGCTATAGCTTTGGGTACTTTCAGGACCCGTCTTGAAACACGGACCAAGGAGTCTAGCATGTGCGCGAGTCATTGGGAATTACTAAACCTAAAGGCGCAATGAAAGTAAAAGTTCGTCTCGCACGGACCGAGGGAAGATGGGCGGTCCTTAGTGGCCGCTCCGCATTCCCGGGGCGTCTCATTCTCATCGCGAGAAGAGGCGCACCAAGAGCGTACACGCTGGGACCCGAAAGATGGTGAACTATGCCTGGTCAGGACGAAGTCAGGGGAAACCCTGATGGAGGTCCGTAGCGATTCTGACGTGCAAATCGATCGTCGGAACTGGGTATAGGGGCGAAAGACTAATCGAACCATCTAGTAGCTGGTTCCCTCCGAAGTTTCCCTCAGGATAGCTGGCGCTCGTTGCGTACGAGTCTCATCCGGTAAAGCGAATGATTAGAGGCATTGGGGTCCAAACGACCTCAACCTATTCTCAAACTTTAAATGGGTGAGATCTCCGGCTTGCTTAAATGTTGAAGCCGCGAGATTTCGGATCAGAGTGCCAAGTGGGCCATTTTGGTAAGCAGAACTGGCGCTGTGGGATGAACCAAACGTCGAGTTAAAGCGCCTAAATCGACGCTTATGGGATACCATGAAAGGCGTTGGTAACTTAAGACAGCAGGACGGTGGCCATGGAAGTCGGAATCCGCCAAGGAGTGTGTAACAACTCACCTGCCGAAGTTACTAGCCCTGAAAATGGATGGCGCTGAAGCGTCGTGCTTATACTCGACCGTCAGCGGCATGTGCGAAAAATAGCAATATTTTTCATGAAGCTCTGACGAGTAGGAGGGTCGCGGCGGTGAGCGCAGAAGGGCTGACCGCGAGGTCGTCTGGAGCCGCCGTCGGTGCAGATCGTGGTGGTAGTAGCAAATACTCCAGCGAGGCCCTGGAGGACTGACGTGGAGAAGGGTTTCGTGTGAACAGCCGTTGCACACGAATCAGTCGATCCTAAGCCCTAGGCGAAAGCCGATGTCGATGTGGTGTACGTTTATTAAGTTACGTCTAACGTAAATACTTAGCGAACACAACCGTCGGGCGAAAGGGAATCCGGTTCCTATTCCGGAACCTGGCAGCGGAACCGTCAATAAGTCGGGCCCTCGCAAGAGAGTTCGTCGGGGTAACCCAAAAGGACCCGGAGACGCCGTCGGGAGATCCAAGTCGGCAAATTGGATCCGTAACTTCGGGATAAGGATTGGCTCTGAGGATCGGGGCGTGTCGGGCTTGGCGAGGAATCGGGTACTGGCTAATGTGCCAGGCCTGGGCGAGGTGCAAGTTTTTGCGAACCGAATCCGAGCTCGGTCCTGAGCCTTGGCCTCCCGCGGAACCGCTTTGCTGCGAGGCCCGTTTGCGTAGCGTTTCACGACGTTACGCTTCGGTGTCCTCTTCGGCCGCTATTTAACGATCAGCTCAGAACTGGCACGGACCGGGGGAATCCGACTGTCTAATTAAAACGAAGCATTGCGATGGTCTTAACTTGATGTTGACGCAATGTGATTTCTGCCCAGTGCTCTGAATGTCAAAGTGAAGAAATTCAATCAAGCGCGGGTAAACGGCGGGAGTAACTATGACTCTCTTTGTCGTTGATATCTCCCGAGTACTTTCGACGAATCAGCGGAAATCAACACGCCCAGCCGGATTTTGATGCCCATAAACTCACACAACGGTATCAAAGACAACTCACGACCGGTTATACGCTTCTCCTCCAACCAATAAGGCCTAGAGAAGATCTTAGAGCGGCCCGCACTATCAGGAGCACAGAATTGGAGGAGGTTCTTCGCTGACCCACTTGTTGATGTCTCCCGGAAGAACCCAGCGAATCAACAGATGTCGACATGCCCAACGCTCCATAAAGACGCAAAGGCGTCCCCCTCGCATAAAATGGCTTCCACAACGGTAGGAGGTGCAACAAACACAGCTAGCAACCTCCTACCCTCCAAACAGAATGGTGGCAAGCAGAATCGTACCGAGCGCGAGAAAGACACGTTCAACACGCCAAAATGTCCTGTTCGCAAGATCGGAACTCCAACATCCGATGCGCAACAATCCGGCAACAACACCAAGACAACCTACAAGAACAACACCTCTAAGAGAGTTTCACCAAATACTTCGTTTAGTAAATCAGACAAAAACGAAACGGAGAACGGCATCCTGAATGGCACCAAGGGCTCACTCACGACCAAGAGTCCTACGTTACTAAACATCAGTGACGAAGGCATCCAAAACATCAAGGAGCCTACACAGAGTGAACCTGCTATAGTTAACACAGCAAATGGGCCCAACGAAACAAATTCTGGCGTCCCAAAGGTTCACTCGCAAGATGCAGCAGCCAAGTCAGGATGTCTCAAACGAGAAGGAGCCGAGAAGAAGGACCTAACATGCAGTACCTGCAAAACAAGCTTCGCCCAAAAAAGCCAGTTGAAGTCGCATATTATGACCCGGTCCTGTGGCGACAGAACCCGATGTAAATACTGTAACAAGCAATATGATATGTTCAAGAAGGTCCGACAACACGAACGCCGAAGCCACCCAGCGGAATGCGCTAAGGAGGCCGAAGAGATGGAGGTGCTGACTGAACCTGAGTATCTGGAGAGACTGGCGGATATCGAAGCGCGCACGCTTAAAATAGTCTCAATAAAGGAGATGATGTCCGCCACGGGGCTAACACAGGCCCAAGTCAGACACAGGAGGGAGAGCCAAATCTATAAAAAGTACCTGGAACGCGCCAGATCCAATTTAAAGGCGTCCAAAACCACTGGCCACACACCTCTGGTAAAATCCCTCCTGATGCAGCAGAAACAAAAGAAGGTCAGCCCTCCAGACACTTCCACAGGAACACCAACAACAGCGACGACGCCATCCACACCGCTGACATCTCGCCCCCAGTTAACAAGTGCTGACGCCGTAACACCGGGCAAACGACGCAGATCGCCGACGGAGCCGTCGCCGCTTCTAGACAGGCCTTCTAAAGCCGTCAAGCGCCGCTCAAATGAAGACCTACGGCCGCATACCCAGGTGCACACCGAGAGGGAGAGCAGAACACCAACGCCCCCCCCCCATGCCAACACCAACCGCAAGCAGTCCTTTAACACCACGTCCAAGCAGTCCAAACGAAACCGTGTACTTCACACCGGAGCCAGAGGGAAGCCCGAACCCCCCCACCACATCGAGAATCCAGATACTGAGCAACATGATAATTCGCAACCGCAACACAACATCGGAATGCGAAGCGCAAAATGTCAACGCCGATCCCCCTGCCACCCTAGAAACAACCACCGACGCATCTCCGGACAACACGTCTCCAAACAACTCCTGGCTCACCAACATCGAAGAGCCCATACCGGAGAGTGAGGAATTTAGGGAATTCTTCTGCGCCCAGCGTAGAGAGCTACAACCTACTCAAAAGCTCCTGCGCAAAATCATCGACCAGGCCCTATTAGGCTCAAGCAGTGCACTGGGAGAGTCGATAGACGCCTGGTTGGATGAGATCTTGCCAAAGGGTAGCAGAAGAATAAATCACCAAGCCCGGCCCAACAACAACCAGGTACAAGCCAGGAGAAACTACGGAGCGTCACGAGGTGGTAGGGGTCCCCGAGCAAGCGCCTTCAAAAAGGCACAGGACCTATTCCAGAAGGATAAATCGATGCTGGCCGACATAATCCTGTCTGGCCGAGCCCTCAACGATCCTCCAGAAACACCCTTATTGGAGGACGTTGAGAGCTTCTACAGCAATATCCTTGAAGGCCAATCCCCACTGGACCCGGAAGACGTTAGCCCAAAAACTGCTGCCCCGACTTTCCTACCAATAACACCGGACGACGTGGAGAAGGCCACGGCGCATTGGAAAGTCTCCGCCCCGGGCCCAGACGGCCTAACAGTCCATCAAGCAAGAAACATCCCTACAAATCACTGGGCAATAGTTATGTCCGCCATACTGTTCAGGAATGTACATCCCAAGAGCTGGAAGCTGCTGAGGACCGTCCTTGTGCCCAAGGACGGCGATCGAAGCTCTCCGGCAAACTGGCGTCCCATCACAATCGGGTCAACAGGCCAACGCCTTATGCATAGGATCCTGAGCAGCAAGATCAAGAACAGCATTAAGTTGAACGCCAATCAGAGGGGCTTTACGCAAATAGACGGTACCCTAGCAAATGTCCTTCTTCTGGACCACTTCATCCGGTCCAGAACAGAACAGGGCAAATCGTTTAGCGTGGTCTCTCTGGACATCTCAAAGGCGTTCGACACGGTGTCACACCACAGCGTACACCGAGGGCTGCGAAGGATGGGGATAGATGCAAGGACAATCGCCTACATAATGGGGACCCTGGACAAGGCGGCCACCACAATCAAAATAGGTCAGCAAACGACACGAAGGATTGACATAAACCGTGGGGTGAAGCAGGGCGACCCGCTGAGCCCATTACTGTTCAACATTGTAATGGACGAGATGTTGGAAAACCATAATGCAGACAACAAAGGCGGGACTCTGGACGGCGGGATGAAGATGGCGGCGATGGCTTTCGCGGACGACCTGATACTGATGGAGGACGACATCAGACTCATGCCCCTTGCAATAGACGAGACCACCAAATTCCTAAGTAAGCGCGGCATGAGTCTCAACCCAAAAAAGTGCACTTCCATATCAGCACTAACGCACTATGGAAATAAAAAGTCCTCCATCGTAGAAAGGCCTCTCTACAGCATCGATGGCATCAAAATCCCGGCTAACAGTGGTTTGTCCGCCTTTAAATACCTGGGTCACATGTACGGAACCACAGGCGTACGAAAGCCGTCATTATGTAACCTACAGACCTGGCTGGCAAGAATGCACCGAGCCCCCCTAAAGCCCGATCAAAAACTAACTATCTTGAAAGAGCACATAATACCGAAAGCTCTGTACGGTCTACAGACTTCGCAAATGACCGGAGAGGTGTTAAAAGAAGCGGACAGGATGCTGAAAGGCGCAGCGAAAAAACTACTACACCTCCACAACCATGTAGCTGACGCAGTCCTGTTCGCTAAAATCAGAGACGGGGGCCT